TATTAATGACAAATAGAACTTGCTAGTCTATTAAGCATCGGCTCCAATCATCGTGAGCCAAGTTAACAAATCTCATGCCCTTCAAATTTGATTATGTTGATGTATTTTGTTCTAATCCTATGAACTACTGGGTACAACTGAGGTACACTGAGGTACAACAAAGACATGAAAGAGGGAGAAAAACACATGGATTTCACTATGAAGTAGTATAAATTAGACATTTTGGTTTATTGCTTTGTTGTATGGTTTAATTAGATACTCAATTTTGTGTACAACATATGTATAGGTACTACTGAACTTTTTTAGGTACAACTGAGGTACACTTGGAACTACTGTCAATAGTTGTACTTTTGGGGTTTTAGCTATTCATTAGTTATACCTTGTTATGAAAATTAAATTTTCAGTAGTACTTGTGATATTTGGAATTTGAAACACATTTCCTATGTTTCTGTGCAATAATATATGCAAGATTATCTATTCTATGAATTTTCTCATCATAAAGTAGATAACATTATGAAACACATTAACTTTTCAACTTTGGAAAAAAATAATTTAAATAAAAAAGAAAAACTCAAACTTGGGACATACCCAATCAAAGTAAACCACATAAATAATACATGTGCGCCGTTATATGCCACGTTTTAAGACATGTGCGCCGTTATATAATACATAGTTATCCCAAGTATGTCAGTGTTACAAATATAGCACATAGTTGTCATTTTGACGTTTTACCTATTTACGCAGTTGTACCATGTTATGAAAAATAAAATTTCAGTTGTCCAATTCATTTTTGAAATTTGTAACACATTTCCTATGATTTCATACCATTATATTTGCAAAAACACATTTTTCTCAAGTTTTGCTTCATATAAGGTATATGACATTAACAAACTATTCTTAAAAGTGTAAGGTTGTCCTAAGGTGATTGATGGGAGATTCGATATATGATATTTAAGAAATCGTTTTATATTAGGTATATTGTATTTTAGATAAATAAGATAATTGATCTTATGTTTTGACGATTAATTTGCAAAATAAA